TTAACATGTCCCAAAATGAGCACTAGAAACTGGCATCCTATACTCCTCTCTCTCTCTCTCTCCCTTACCCACCTAGTCCAATTAGTCACCACGTCGTTCAACTCCAGCATTCAAAATGAATCCATCGCCCCTGCCCTGCACTAATTCAGGCCCTTACTGCCTCCTGCTTGAAATGGTGCAACAACAGTCTAATTGGTCTTCTCTAACCACATAGATATCAAAGTGATCTTCCTAAAACAAAAAACTGATGGTCATTCCCTGCCTTTAAGTCCTCACTGCCCATTGCCTCAGAGAGAAAGCTATGAACATCCTTCCTTTCTTCACCCTCAACTACTCCCACCATCCTCCCGCCACGTTCCGTACTCCAGAAGTTCTAAGCAACCTCCGTCCTCTGACCTATCACACGCTGTCCCACACTGCCACTCTGTTCCCTTGGCCTGAATATCCTCTCCCCTCTCTTGCTATACTTACCTTTCAAGGCTGAACTCAGGTGTAATGCTTTTGTAATGCCGTTCCTCACTCATCACTGATCACTCTGACCTCAGACTTTCTGGGTACTTGGTACAAACTTGGGTAACTCTCAGACACTAAAATTGTTGGTGTACATGCTTATAAGACAAGGCCTATGTCTTTCTCATTTATGTCCAGATTCTAGAACAATGCCTGGCATGCAGTAAGCATCAATAAATGTTGCTGAATGAATTACTATACACTTCATTGTCCAGCTTTACATCTGTTTCCTGTTTGTAGTCAGCTGATAAAACTGTACATTTTATAGTTTACAAAATCATTTCACTTGTGTCATTAAGTGAGTGCATTCAACCAGTACTTACTAGATACCAATTCTGTTGGAGACCACTGGAGTTACACCATCAGTAATGGAAGGGGGTAGAGCTACTCTGGAAAAGATGATCAAGGAAGATCTTCAAGCTAAAAGCAAGTAAGATCTAAAGGACAGAAGGTGTGGGTAGAGAAAGAGAACAGCCTTGAAAACAAAAGCAAGAAGGCCAGTGTGGCTGGAGCAGAGTGGATAAACTGATTTATTCAACAGAAGCTTCTTAACTAACCTGTGAAACAGGACAAATAATATACAGTTCAAATATGAAGTGATTTCCCAACTGATTAAAGAAGCTAGTAACAAATCCTAGCCTTATTACTCCAAACCAGGCTTTTCCCAAATACTTGTCTATGACACCCACAGGACAGACCTGCACTGTCCAATACAACAGCCATTAGGCAGTGAGCACCCGAAATGGGGACAGTTGGGATTAATATGTGCTGTAAATGAAGTACACAGATTTTAAATGTCTACTATGAAAAAGTAGCTATCTCACTGATATTTCCTAAGAACAATGTTAAACAGTATTCTGGATAATTAGGTAAATAAAATACATTACTAAAAATGAACGTGCCCTAGCTCATTTGGCTCCATGCATAGCACATCGGCCTGCGGACTTTAAGGCCTGCGGACTGTAGGGTCCCAGGTTCGATTCCGACCAAGGGCACAGGCCAGGGTTGTGGGTTGGAGACCACTAGAGTTACACCAAGTAGGGGGCGTGTAGGAGGCAGCCAATCAATGATTCTCATTGATGTTTCTATCTATCCCTCTCCCTTCCTCTCTGAGATCAATAAAAATGTATCTTTTTTTTTTTTAATGAGCATCACCTGCTCTTTGACCACTATAAAACGTATCCACGAGGTTTGCCTTACGTTCCTATTGGACAGCACTGGTATGCACACGCCCACTCGGTGTGTAAGCCTGAAACTAGCAGCTCCCCAGGGGAATCTAGCCAGTTCCCGGGAAATCCGGGGTGCCGGCACGCCCCCTCTCACCCCTCCACCCCCTACCCCCGTTTCAGCTTCAGCTCTGAGCTCCGCGTAGCACCACTTCTTTGAGCCTCAGAGGGGTTTTCCTGCCTCCAATGGGGCCTGGCAGCCACCCCGGGTCTTCCAGGGCCGCGGAGGGAGCGGCAAACACAGGGCCAGCCGGCGCCCGCGGCGGGCTCACCCGGTAGCTCTCGAAGGCCTCGTCCACGGGCGCCATGGCGTGGTCCTGGTGCTCCTGGGACTCGCGGCACACCAGGCACACGGGCCGCTGGTCGTCCTCGCAGAAGAGGCGCAGCGGCTCCCAGTGGCGGCCGCACAGCCCGGGCGGCACGGGGCCCTGGCGCCGCCGCCGCGTCTTCTCCGTGAGCCGCGCCAGCGCCCAGTTGGGCCGCAGGGCGCCGGGCGCCGACGGCTGCCGGCACTCGGGGCACAGGAACAGCCCGTCCGCCGGCGTCCAGCCGCGGCGCAGGCAGCGGCGGCAGAAGTTGTGGCCGCACTCGATGGACACCGGGTCGTTGAAGAAGTCCAGGCAGATGGGGCAGGTCAGCTCTTCCTGGAGCTCCTCGGCCTCCATGACGCCTCCCCGACCCGAGCCGCCCGGCCGACCGACCGACGCGGGGCTGCGGGCGCTGCAGTCCGACTTCCGGGGCTGCGGGCGCGGGGGCGCGCGGGAGTGGCCTCCCAGGCCTGGACACCCTTCGGACTGGACTTGGGCCGCTCCTCCGGCCAACAATAGAAATGCGGAACCCCCTCCCCTTCCACTACCCGCTTCCCTCCGCCCCCCGGAAGCCCGGAGCGGATGCCGAGAATCTCCGGCCCGGAGGGCGGCGCCTGCGCCTCTGCAGCCCGGGCTGGTGCAGCTGAACCCGAGGCGCTAACGGGCCGGGCCGGCGGGTCAGGTGTGGGAGGTGAGGCTGAGGGCCGCTGGCTGCTCCGGCGATTTAGGCGCCTGGGTCCTAGGCAAGCTGCACCCAGGACAGGTCCGTGCAGCTGGGCCCTGAGGAATGGGGCTTAGAAGGCGCTGGGCCTCGAGGCTTGCTCTCCCTGAAGTCCCCCCTCTTTTTCAGCCTCATTCTGCAAGGAAAGGAGCCCCTTCTCACCCTCCAGCCCCAAGGTCTGGTTGAGTTCATAGAAAAAAGCAGGATATCCTAGTCCCCATCAAAGCCCACCGACTCTCCTCCACTCTTCTCCGGAGTTTGGTGAAACTCCGGTGATGTGCGCAGGAAAGGGGGTGTTTGGGGAGCTATCTGATGGTCCCGTCACCCTGGTTTCCCCCGCTTGCTTCCTCAGCATAGGAAACAGACCCCAGGTAGAGGGAAACCCCTTCTCCGGGCATGGCGCACTCACCCAATGCTGATAGGGGTACCAGTGGTTAAGTTAGGGGAAGGAATCCCGGATTAGATGATGAACTCCAGGTTTGACTTCCCATCAGTGTTTTAGTTCAACTCCCAGGAGGTCTGAGGAACAGGTGATGCTCTGCGCCAGCTGGGGGGGGGGGGGGGGGGGGGGGGGGCGGGCGTCTGCTGAATCACCGAAGATGCTGGGAAGGAGCAAATCCTATAGGTGCTGGTGCTGGAGCAGTTTCTGATACTCCTACCTGATGAGGTCAAGACCAGGATGAGAGAGCAATGCTTAGAGAGTGGAGCTGAAGCTGTAGCTGTTGTGAAAGACTGGGAAAGAGAGTGAAAAATAAGTGTTTTTAAAGAGGGAGTGATTAAGATTCAGAAGCACAGATACATTGCCTTTTGGACCCAGCTTGAAGACAGCAACCATATTGCTATCCCAAGGAGCATCCATTAAGGCTTTCTACAAATAATATGCTTGCCTGTTTCAGGGAATTATTTGTTTCTTTTCAATGGATTTTTTATCTTGTGTTTCTGAGGTGCTTTTTTATTATTATTACTAGAGGCCCAGCCTGCTCTCTCCAATATGGGACCCCTCAGGGGATGTCTGACTTCCGGTTTAGGCCCAATCCCTCAGGGCCTAAACCGGCAGTCAGACATCCCTCTCATAATCTGGAACTGCTGGCTCCTAACAATTCACCTCTCTGCCTGCCTGCCTGATCAACCCCCTAACTGCTCCCCTGCCAATCCGATTGATGCCTAACTGCTCCCCTGCCGACCTGATTGCCCCCAACTGCCCTCCCCTACCAGTCCAGTCATGCCCCCCCCCCAACTGCTCTCCCCTGTAGGCCCGGTCACCTCCAACTGCCCTCCTCTGCCATCCCAGTCACCCCCGAACTGCCCTCCCTGGTGGCCTGATCTCCCACAACTGCCCTCTCCTGCTGGCCATCTTATGGCAGCCATCTTGTGACAACATGGGGCGGCCATCTTGTGATGACACAAGAGCAAGACGCCATCTAGGCTTTTATGAGTATAGATTAAGATTTGTGCAATAGACCTTCCTTCCCCTGGCTGCTGGCACCAGTTTCCCTCCAGCACCTGGGACCCAGGCCTTGGTTCCGGCCACAGTGGAGAAGCTAAGCCTCTTCAGTCATCTTCAGTTGTCTTCAGTCAGGCCAAAGCCTTCAGTCTTTGCTTTGTGCCTGTGTATGCAAATTAACCCACCATCTTTGTTGCGTTAATTTGCATCCTCACTCCTGATTGGCTTGTTGTCATCATGGAGGTGTGGTCAATTTGTATATTTCTTTTTTATTAGTGTAGATGCCACTTGTTCCTTTACTTATGGATGAAGTCTTTAAATCTCCTTGTGTTCCAATGTCAGACACTGCCTTTCCCATAATATGCTCAATGAGTCAATGGTCCAGGGGACATAAGCCTCTGAATTCACAGTAATCTTCCTAAGGGATATGGTCAAGTGTTTGAATAAATCTAATCCAAATATTAAAAGGACACTAGGTTATATATGCTTGGAAGGCCAAAGTTTATGGATATAACATATACTGCAAGGCTGGGGGTATTCAGGGTTACAGGACTTTGAAATTGGGGAAGCAGAAAATGTAGAACCACAGAAGAGAGATAAGTAGAGTCACTGAGAAAGAAGAAAAATGTCTTTAGTAACAAGAATGCCATCAACAGTTATCAATCTTTATTACACAGGACAAGGGTAAGGCTTGGTTTTATGAGGATTTCTGCTGGCTTATTCAAACAGAGTCCATGAAAACTGTGACGCTGACACCAGAGGGTTCTGGAAAGAAGGCACAAGCAAGAGTTCTTAAAGGAAACGCTTTAGGCAGCATGGCCCACCATGGCCCTTAGAGATGCTTCAACAGCCTCTAACTTGTCACAGAGATATATCCCCACTCACTGGATGTTGGGGAGAAGTTCCAGTCATGGAGTATCCTTCAGAGTTGAGCCAGGTGTCTTTATAACTCTGCAAAGTAGAAAATCAAGCAGAAGCTGAGACTTTCTAAATGGGAAGAGACCTCAATGGAAGCACAGGGAGGTACAACTGACTGAGCACTCTGGTCTGGGTTCATTGGAAGAAGTCATCAAATTGATGGGGATGGGGGTTGGGTTGGGAGCAGTGGTCAGAGCATCTACTTAAACCTGGTTTTCTACTTTAAAAAAAAGATTTAGGCAGAAACTGGTTTGGCTCAGTGGTAGAGTGTTGGTCTGCGGACTGAAAGGTCCCAGGTTTGATTCTGGTCAAGGGCATGTACCTTGGTTGCAGGCACATCCCCAGTGGGGGGTGTGCAAGAGGCAGCTGGTCGATGTTTCTCTCTCATCGACGTTTCTAGCTCTCTATCCCTCTCCCTTCCTCTCTGCAAAAAATCAATAAAATATATTTTTAAAAAAGATTTAGCCCTAATCGATTTGGTTCAGTGGATAGAGCATTGGCCTGCGGACTGAAAGGTCCTGGGTTGGATTCTGGTCAAGGGCATGTACCTTGGTTGCAGGATCCATCACCAGTAGGGGGTGTGCAGGAGGCAGCTGGTCAATGTTTCCCTCTCATCGATGTTTCTAACTCTCTATTTCTCTCCCTTTCTCTCTGTACAAATCAATAAAATATATATTTTTCAAAAAGATTTAATGTATTGGAGTGACTGGTTAATAAAATTATATAGGTTTCAGATGTACAATTCTATAACATCATCTGTATATTGTATTGTGTGTTCATCCCAAGTCAAGTCTCTTTCCATCACCACTTACTCTGCTCTGTATACCCTCTTCTATCTCCCCCCAACTCCCCTTTCCCTCTGGAAATCACCATACTGCTGCCTGTGTCTATGAGGTTTTGTTTCGTTGTTGTTTTTTTAAATATAATTTATTGATTTTTATATTTTATTTATTTTTTTTACAGAGGGGAAGGAAGAAGGATAGAGAGTTAGAAACATTGATCAGCTGCCTCCTGCACACCCCTTGCTGGGGATGTGCCCACAACCAAGGTACATGTCCTTGACAAGAATCGAACCTGGGACCCCCTCAGTCCAAGCTGACACTCTATGCCAAGCCAGACAGGGCAGGTGTTTTGTTTTGTTTTGTTTTGTTTGTTTTTGCTTAATCCCTTCACTTTTTTCCTTTGTAACCTGTGGGAGCTGTACATGTAAGGGTCCTGCCAAGAGGGGATCCTCAGCATGGAGCCATCAGGCAAGAAAGATGAGGGACATCGGTGCCCTTCTCACCTGCTACTCGGAACTGGTCTTTTGATTCCACCACTGGGACGTTATCGTTTGGTTCCTTGTGTTTTCTGGTGCCCTCTGAAGTTGTGAAGTACTTAGAAGAGGGAAATTTTTGCTTCCAGGTCCGCCACAATCTCCCCAGGCCCAGGAGCACCAGCTCCAAAAGAGTAAAGAAGAGACAGAGCCCACTGAGCCCAAACATGGTCTTTAGGAAGATGGTCTTCTCCGAGGAGCGGGACACGTGGCAGGTGATACTCCCGAGGCAAGGCTCTCGACGACATGAAAAGGAGCTGGGCATCTTGAACCCATACAGATGGTACTGCCCTCCCAAGGCGGCCCCCTCAAGGGCCAGTCGCACCCCCAGCTGCACCACGTAGGCCCAGAGCAGTCTGGGGCTTGCAGCTCCGGAGACATCTGCGCTGCCCTGTCCTTGTCTGATCGGGGTCTCCTCCTCCTTCTTCGCTTTTCTTGAGTCTTCCCAATGCCAGATGCCATGATACAGGGTGAAACCCAAGTAGAGGACACTGGGCACAGCCACCAGCATGATCTGGAAGGCCCAGAAACGCAGTGGGGAGAGGGGGTGGAAGGCATCGTAACAGGCAGCCTTGCAGCCTGGCGGCTGGTTGTGACATACAAATTCATCTTGCTCGTCGCCATAGACTCCCATCCCACTGGTAGCCAGCAGTACGAGGCGGAATCCCAGGAGCACCGGAAGGATGAGGCGCCCCACAGGGGTGGAGTGCCTGCTCTCCTCAGCCATCAGCCGCCTCAGGAACCTGCCGCACATTCTGTTACAGAGCAGAGAACAATGCTGAGTGTAGGTGTGTTGCTCAATGGCCTTCAGGAGGAGCTGTAGGCCACCTCTTCACTCCTAATCCAAACCTCCTTGCTCCTCTCCAAGGACCTCGTTAATCCAATACTAAGACTCTGATTGCACCTATTTATATAGTTAATGGATCATCTATGTGAAATAATAGTAAGTATGGATGTGGCTCTTTATTCTGTCTTCTGTCCCCACTGCAGTGGAGAGGAACTCTCAGTATTGGGTTGAGACCAGGGTCTGTCTTTGTCTCTTTCCTTTCTTCCCTCTCACCCTAAAAAGGCTAAATAGCAAGAGGCCAGTGTCCTCTGAAAACTGACATTTCCCCAGGCAGTACTGCCAGCTCTGGTTCAGCTGTTAGCATCACCTGAACAAAACCCAGTGCTGAGCTTGGGGGAAATGTGTAGCGGAAGGATGAGGCGCCCCACAGACGCTCGGCAGCTGTTCCCGGCCTCCACCCAGTAGATGCCAGCAGCACACTTCCCTCTTACTCATCTCAAATGTCCCCTGGGGTCAAATTCACCCTGGTTAAGAGCCACTGTTTGTGGTAGCTCTGGTCCATCACCTCTCTACTCTTGGCTGCAGTTCCAGCTCTGTAAAGCAAGAGCATTTTGAAGAGCTTTTATTGGTTGGGACATGATAGTCTACCCATTCTCAGGCTAGCTGCAAATCCTCCCTCAACCAGCCTCACCTATGAGGAAGCCTGCAGCCCTCCCTGCCGCATGCGTGTGGGTTCCCTGCCCGGGGGAGTCAGCGGGGGCTCTGAGTGTTTCTGCCCTGGATCTCCTCGTGAGTTTCAGACTGAATTCTAATTTGGTGAATTCGGAAGCCTTGCTCTCAGCTCCTCATTTCCAAGAGCAGGGCCAACACTCTCAAAGGACTTCCGACACATTCCCAGCAGAACTGCAATTTAACACAAAGCAGGCCTGGGAGATTTTCAGTATTGGGAACTCCAGTCGTTTCCAGAGGCCCTGCCTCTGGTTCTTCTCTGTCCTGAGCCCACCCCAGAGCCAGAGCCAGAACCCAAATGTCCTCTAAGAGGTTCTAGGAACTGAACCGGGGTCTGCAGAGCTCACCACAGAGCTTTGGGGGTATGGAAGGGAGAGCAGAAAAGGGACAAGAGGACTTGCCTGAGAACCCCTTGGCTTAGAGCCTCCATATCTAGTTCTGCGTCCCCTCTCTGCCCTTTGCCCCATGGCTGTTATCACCAAAATGCTTTTCCACACACATCCTGGGGCCTCGTGTTCAGACAAAATTGTGCCCCAGCTCCCAAAGTCCGTGGACCAAAGGGAGTTTCCTGTAGACCTGAGTCTACACCGTCCTCCCTCCTCCCTCATCTCCTGCTCTCCTGGGACTCTGGGACTCCCTTCCCTTCCCCCCAGCCTGTTCCAGTCCTCCCCAGCCCGCCTGCCTTATTCTTGGAGACCACATCCTTCCATGAACGTGTTTGCAGCTCTGCCCACAAGGACCAGCGTCCCCAGCCTGAACCTCAGGACCCAGGGAGCTGAGGGCTGAGCGTTGCTGACAAAGCTCGGCACTACTCTGTTTCTGGGACTGGAGAAATTGTGTGCAGATAGATTTGGGAGAGAATTGGTAGGTTCTGAGCCCTGTTAAGATTTTAGTCGGTGGAGCCATATCTGTGAGCTCAGTAGCTGGGAGAGGAAGGAAAGCCCAGTTGGAGGGGATTATCAAATATATAAATGGATTTTTTAAAAAATATATTTTATTGATATTTTACAGAGAGGAAGGGAGAGGGATAGAGAGTAAGAAACATCAATGAGAGAGAAACATAGATCAGCTGCCTCCTGCACACCTCCTACTGGGGAGGTGCCCGCAACCAAGATACATGCCCTTGACTGGAATCAAACCTGGGACCTTTCAGTCCACAGGCTGACGCTCTATCCACTGAGCAAAACCGTTAGAGCAATGGATTTCTTTTTTTATTTTTTTTTAAGCCATCACGATTTTGGTAAGAATTTTTCTAAGCATCTCTATTCTTTTGGAGAAAATGTTCAGGATTCCATTGGTGGCAGAATCCATCTCAGTGAAGGTATGAGTGTAGGATGTCCACTGAGGACAGTGCTGGACCGGCTCATTGCTCCCATCTCACCCCACTTGGCCTGGAAAAGGCCCTCGATTCTTTCAGTCAAAGTGGTGGACCATGTGAAGCAGAACTGGCATCACCAGGTATTCAGAATCTCAGGCCACACCCCCAGCTTAGCAAATCAGATCTGAAGTTTAATTATATCCCCAAGTCATTGGTGTGCACGTTAGAGTTGGAGAAGGCAGTGTAGAGCCCCAGGCAGCCCCCACCACCTCTGCCCCTTAGCCCTGTGCCACCCCAGCTGCCCCCTTCCCCAGCGTGAGCACTCACCTGGCAGCTTTGAGCAAAAGCACCCACAACTGGTGACGGAGAGAAACAGCCTCAGGCTGAAGTCCACAGGGTCCCAGCTCTCCCCCTGGCCCTGCCTCCTCCCACCGCCCACTTCTCCCCCTCCCCCTTCCATTCCTGGCAGCCTAAGTGAAGGATAAAAGAATTGCAGCTGGAGGAGCAGGCTGCCCTGCTGTTAAAGAATGGGCCGTAGAGAATAACCCTCTGTTGCTGAGGACGAGGGTATGTGTCCTAAGTGAACTGAAACAGGAATTTTCAGATTCTCAGAAAGGGGGCATTGACAATATGCAGGCTTGCCGGCAACAACAGATATAATTTCCTTATTTATCCCAGGATGTCCTCTCCTCTCGGCTGGGAAAAATAGCACAGGCCCCACCCCCACCCCCCCCAAGATAATGGGCATCTGCTCCATGTCCCTCAGCAACCCCAGGAGCCGAGCTCCTCTCCACTAGGCCCAGCGAGAACTGGTGTTTGCTTATTTGTTTGTTTGTTTGTTTGTTTTTAAATATATTTTATTGATTTTTTTACAGAGCGGAGGGGAGAGGGATAGAGAGCCAGAAACATCTATGAGATCAGCTGCCTCCTGGGGATGTGCCCGCAACCAAGGTACATGCCCTTGACCGGAATCGAACCTGAGACCTTTCAGTCCACAGGCACTGAGGTTCCTACTTGGTTAATTCTTCAGGAATCCAGGTGCCATGACCCATTCTGTTTTGCAGGGCTCAGGCTGGTGAATTAAACGGGGATATAATGGAGACCACTGCCATGCATCCTTTAATTATTTGAAAATGACACTGATTTCTGCCACTATTTTTTCCTGTGATGCAATATAGCTTTCTATTTATTCTCTTGGCCTAGCCTAGAGCCATGGTCAGCAAACTGCTGCTTGCGAGCCACATGCAGCTCTTTGGCCCCTTGAGTGTGGCTCTTCCACAAAATACCACGGCCTGGGCGAGTCTATTTTGAAGAATTGGCATTAGAATAAATTCAAGTTTAAAAAATTTGGCTCTCCGTCGGTCTGCGGACTGAAAGGTTTCAGGTTCGATTCCGGTCAAGGGCATGTAACTTGGTTGCGGGCACATCCCCGGTAGGGGGTGTGCAAGAGGCAGCTGGTCGATGTTTCTCTCTCACCGACATTTCTAGCTCTCTATCTCTCTCCCTTCCTCTCTGTAAAAAATCAGTAAAATATATATTTTTAAAAAAATTTGGCTCTCAAAAGAAATTTCAATCATTGATGTTTGGCTCTGCTGACTAATGAGTTTGCCGACCACTGTTATAGCTGGTTCCCAATATTCTATTTCTGCCCCTATCATAATAACTTTACTTCAGTGGTCAAGGAATCTATGTGGGATTCAGCCACCTGCTAAGTTCATCTATTCTAACTGTACATTCTAGAACACAGGAAACGAACAGCAGATGGATCTGTAGAGGCAGTGAATGTGAGCTATAACCGTGAGAGGGAGCAGGGACAGGGCTCCATTTCTTACCAAACCTCCACATGCCCTAGGATGGTGCCCTGGGTCCTCACGGTTCTCAGTGCCAGCTCAGATAACCTATGCAACCTCAAAAGGTCTCAGTGTCCCCCTTCCCCACTGTACGGATATCTGAGTTAATAGTTGTAGGTCACTTCGGGAAGAAGCTGGGGAATCACTACTGCATGCACCTCACAGGGTATTGCAGGGTACTTCCAGATGGAGATCCAACCCTTTCAATGATGGGTTCTCAATCTAACTCACTTAAAACTAACCGTTCCCTCTGACCCCACCATTCAGGGCTATACAGATGGTCCAGCAGAGCAACCAAAGTCCTTGTCTAAATATGTGAAGTGGGGAGGTGAGGAGGGGGTGCACAGGCCCAGGGAATAGGGATACTTTATAAAAGTTGCATGAATTTCTCCTGATTCTCCAATGGCCCCATTTATAAGTGTCCATCGTGCCTCAGTCAGCATGGGTGGGCATCAAGGGTGGAGGCCAAAGTTGGAGCTGGGGGTGGGAGAGGGAGAGGGCTTCTGCCTAATTATTTCTAAGCTTCTAACAGGACCCTTAAACACCAAGACAAACTCCTCTTTTACAGTAAATTTCTGAGGATTAGTGCCAAGCAAGAAGCCCCCACTTCTTTAGTCCACCACACAATACCCTCTTTGTCCCTCCTCTTCCCACCAGACGAGACCAGCCTCCTCCCACAGCCATATGTTGGCAACACATGCCAAGACCTGGAGCAGCAGGACGCCCAGGGTGCAAGGATCACCCGAGGTTAGGGAGCAGAAAGGAGTGCTGAGGCCTGGCATCTATGTACCCCACAGTGATTGGAGAAGTAGCTTTCTTCTCTCCCTCCCTCCTTCTCTCCACAGATGGCTGTATCTATCTAGTTTTGGGGAAAGCAAGACTCCACCAAGAATAAGGGTTAAAGAGGGGTCAGCAGAAAGACTCAGAACAAGAATGAAAACCACCCCCAGAGAACTGAATGTAATGGTAAGGGGCCTGGGTTACTATGTGACCTAGAGAGAAGAGAGCTAAGCTAGTCCTGGGCCCATCATCACATGGAAATCTGGAGGAAACAAACATATTAGCTAAGCCTGGCAGGTGTGGGTCAGTGGTTGAGGTCACAGTTTTGTTCCCAGTCAGTGCACATGCCCAGGTTGCAGGTTCAATCCCCAGTGTGGGGCATGCAGGAGGCAGCTGATCAATGATTCTTTCTTGTCCTTGATGCTCCTCTCTTTCCCTCTCCCTTTTACTCTGAAATAAATTTTAAAATACTTAAATATATATATATATATATATATATATATATATATATATATATATGCTAATAACTTTTTTGTTTGTTTGTGTTTTAATCCTCACATGAGATATTTCTCCATTGGTTTTTAGAGAGATTGGAAGAGAGGGGGAAAGACAGAGAGATATATCAATGTGAGAGAAACACATGATTGATTGCCTCCTGCAAGAGCCCTAAGTACTCAGCCCAGGGAGGAGCCTGCAACTGAGGTACGTGCCCTTGATCAGAATCAAACCCAGGACCCTTCAGTCCACAGGCTGATGCTCTATCCGCTGAGCCAAACCAGCTAGGACTAAGCTGATAACTTCTTAGGATTGTGTAGGTTTAGACTCTGTAACATTTACAAATAGTCAGCAAATGCATTTCTCACCAGCATGGCAACTCAAAGAACTGTTGGTAAAGAGACAGAATCCTGGTTTTCCTCCATGCTGATCCCATCTCAGGTAATTAATTATAAATCAAAATAATTTATTATCTTAATCTAGAAAATTCTCCTTCCTGCACTTCCTTTTTTTTTTTTTTTTTTCCTTTCCTGCCCTTTCTATCAAAGTCCTTCTGCCCATGTGAGCAAGCAATACTGTGATGCAGCTATTAATCCCAACCACAGGTCTTCCTTCTTGATCCTCTGCTGCCCCACAGTGGGACTCACAGTTGACCCACTCCTCAAAGTCCTTCCCATTTTTGCAGGTCCTTACCCTATGCCTTTCTTTACCAGATTTTCCATGCCCAGTGAAGTCTATCCTATGGCCACTGCTCATTCCAACAACCAAGCCTTCTTTCTTTATGACTGTGAAGGCAGTAAGTCCCTGGGGCCCTAGAGCCCAGTGATGGGCACAGAGGAGAGGAGGAAAGCCAAGAGCAGAAGACCAGGGAGGACATCTTATTGGTGACCTTAAAAGACATGGACTGTTCCAAGACAGAGAAAGCCAGTGGACTGAGTGTTGTGGATGGAAGGTACGTACAGCAGTGGGCAAAAGTAAGCTTACAGCTGTTCATATGGAAAGGTAAATAATGCAAGATAAATAATAATGCAAGAATAAACTCTGTTTTGCATACTCATGACTGTAAACCTCCTTTTGTCCACCTGCATGTGCGTTTTCACAAGATCAAGATGCAGTCCCAATTAAATTAGGCATAAAAAGAGGAGTTAGGAAGGGAAATGTCAGATCCCTTAAAAGACACAAATAGAAATACACAGATTCTTCTGCCTCCCCCTCCCCACAGCACAGCTGCTTTCTCCTTCCCCATCACTTCCCCATTCTCACTTCTAGGCCTCTAGTCTCACAGGAAATAATGTCAAAGTCAGCTCTTAACCAGGCATATCTGGTCTCTCAGCTCCTCAACTGCACTTGTCTGAGGCTGTTCCCACTTAAAAAAAGTACAGACTCACCATGCCCAGGGATGTTGGGTGGAAAGTGAGCCAACCTTGGGGTTGGTCAAACCTGGGTTCACATGGTGGCTCCACCAGTCACTAGTTGTTTTGCAGGGACTTAATCAAGTGACTTAATCATCTATGCTATTGTACATTGCATTGGTGAGTCCTCACATGGCTGTCACGAGAATTTAATGTTTAAAACTAGTCTTTGTAAGTTTCATGAGGGTAGAAGCCATGTGTCTCTTGATCTGCCTTGTACCCTCATTGCCAAAGGCATTGCTCAACATTGAAAAGTTGCTCAGTAAATATAGTCCACAGTTCAGAGTCTAGGCTAGGTGCTCACTAAATGTGTATTTTTTTTTCATTCCATAAACTGTTACAGCTACATGGGACCCTAAGAGTCCTCCATGCCATTTTACACATGAGGAAACAGACTCAAGTAATTTATATTAATCATACAGACTGCTCAGACCTTGTGGAACTATTGATACAAGGCACAGAATAAGGGATAAAGAGTGAGATTAGATAACAAAATGCCCCCTAAACTGCAGAGAATCGGGAATCTCAAAGAGGAGAGATCAGGAAAATAGTCTGTATCGCCTAAGTAGGAGTGATTAAGCCACATGGACTAGGAAGGACATTGGCTGGAACAGAAAAATTTTAGTCAGAAGTTATGACATCCCTTGTTCAGGGAAGAGAAAACAATGAGGAATTTTTGAAGATGAGTGAGGGAGATGGGGACATCAGGAATTTGAGATGGGGATATTAAAAACAAGATAAAGGAGCAGACGTAATCACTCTACAGTCTCTTGACCAGGCATTTAAACTCTTAAATTGGATGGAAAGAAAAGTTGCAAATAATATAAAGATTACAAATCATTTTTATTTTGTTTTGGAATAGCTATGAATATTGTTGTGTCTGTTTCCTCAGAATTCACAAGATATCCAAAGAAAGAAACTATTCAAGTGACTGGGGAGGGGGGTGGGAAGTCAGCAGATGTGATTTTCCTCTCCCAGCCTCCCTCTTGTGGCAAAATAGGATATTACCGCTTAGACTCCAGTAACACCAACACAAATGTAAATGTCTAGCTTGGACCTTACTGAAGAGAGGACATTATGTGCATAGTGTCTGCTGCAGAGTTCCAGGAAGCTGTCAGCAAGGGCCGAATCATCCTGTTTACCCTGCAATAGTTGATCAGCTTTTCCAAAATTGCACCAGCACATTTGCAGGTCTTCCTTGCTCAATCCGTTTTCCCCACGCTGGTTGCTCAACCTGGTACATCAACAGATGGGTTGATCAGTTTGGTA